TGAAAATTGTTGAAAAAAATAGATAAATTAAAAATTTCTTGATGAAGGACACCTAGGACACCTAAAGCTTGATTTTTTTTTATTTTGTAATACTGATGAGGGATAAAATGCGTAATTTAAAAAATTGGACTTTGGCCAAATCCCTAGCTGTTTCTCTACTAAAATAAGTGAGAAGAGTGAAAAGACATATCATTTATCAACAACAAAACTAAGGATTAGCCGCTTCTGCAGGAAAAAAAATTGCGCAACCGCTTCTTTTGATCGAATTTTTATTTCAAATTCGATAGAGTATTTTTCAATAAAATTCAAAAAGTTTCTATGAAACGGTCAAAGTTCGAAAACTTGATTTTTCTAAGACCGACCGTGAAAACTGGTAAAGAAGAAAAAAATCACAAACATACTTATCTAAAAAATATGGACCAAGTAAAAAAAAACTTAAAAAAAAAGATTTCAAAAAAATTAACTCATTTATTGTATTTATTTTAAAAAAATCAACTCAATTACTGTATTTTATTTTGAGTGGTTGTCTGAATTAGGTTTAAAAATTGTAATTATGACAAATGATAAACGAAAAAAAGCAGCGAAACTCAACGAGGATTACGTTCAACTCGCTAGACGCGCTCGAAATAAGACTAAAAAGAGAAGTTTTTGAACCCATTTTTCTCGAAATCCGGAACACTTTTTGAATTTTTTTGTTTTGCTCGAATCAATACTGAAAACGTTTTTGCTAAGAATTCAAAAAATGTTCTCTTCACTTTCAATGGCAAGAACAAAAGAATTAAAAAACACCCGTAGACACAGTTCCTTCCCAATTTAATGGAAAAAAAAGAAAACCCACATGTTGCTTACTCGTAACAAAAAAGACACGCAAAAAAACACGGAGACAAAACTGCGCTTTGCAAACACAGGCGAAGACGTATATTTTAAAGGCTGAAAAAAAAACAAAATGAACACAAATAAACATCACTTGCAAAACAATGCAATCATAAAAAAACATGAGTAAAAAAATGAAAATTGTTGAAAAAAATAGATAAAATAAAAATTTCTTGATGAAGGACACCTAAGACACCTAAAGCTTGATTTTTTTTCATTTTGTAATACTGATGAGGGATAAAATGCGTAATTTAAAAAATTGGACTTTGGCCAAATCCCTAGCTGTTTCTCTACTAAAATAAGTGAGAAGAGTGAAAAGACATATCATTTATCAACAACAAAACTAAGGATTAGCCGCTTCTGCAGGAAAAAAAATTGCGCAACCGCTTCTTTTGATCGAATTTTTATTTCAAATTCGATAGAGTATTTTTCAAGAAAATTCAAAAAATTTCTATGAAACGGTCAAAGTTCGAAAACTTGATTTTTCTAAGACCGACCGTGAAAACTGGTAAAGAAGAAAAAAATCACAAATTTGGTTTTCTTCATTAAACACTTAACCTGAGAGTTGGCACGGTATTTTTCGATTGAAGCCCATTTTTTCCAAAAACCATTTCAAAGTTTCCAAACTTTGGCTTGTTTGAAAGCCAGTACTTTTTTCTTAAGCAAACTAGGCGTTTCACATTATAAAGGTAGGCTTTCAACAATCTAATGTTCCGATAAAAACTATGATGTCAAATTTGAAAGGACAGTTAACAAGAAATTCAAAAAGCAGCAATTAAATCAGAAATTTGACTTTCCGGAGAATCATAGTTTTTGAGTGAAAAAATAGGGTGTAGACGTTTATGCAGAAGATATTCACGATTCAAAATCACAAAATCATTAATAAAACAATTTAGAAAAAAATGTTGAATAGCAAGTTACGGCCTAGCTAAAGCTCTAGCTAGGTGTTTGATATTTTTTGAGTTCGTTATATTGATGCAAAACGAAGTGCGTAATTCAAAATTTGGACTTTGCCCAAAACCTTAGTTGTTTCTCTACTAAAATAAGAGAGAGGAGTAAAAACGTTTTGAGATAATCAGTTTTCCCAAGGAGATAACATTTTTCCAAGTGAAAAATTATTGAAACGCGGCTTCTACAGGAACAACTATTGAAACCTGTTCATTCAATTGAACTTTTCATCTCAGATTTGATAGTGTAACTTTTAACTAAATTCAAAAAATTATTTAAAACGGTCAAAAATTCTAAGAAACGGTCTAGACTTTCCAAAAGCTAAACTGTTTTTTGTAAAAAATAAGTTGTGGAGAAACTTCCCGAAACCGGGTTTTTCAATTGATCAGTACTAATTGAACTGGAATAAGTGATTAAACTGATTTTGTTAAACTAGTTGTTAACCTAAGAAAATTTTACATTCCGAGTTGGTTACGCTTGCAAATTGCAAGCGGAAAAAGCATTGAAATTAGACAATTAAATGGCATCTACGGGAATGGTGCCTCAGTTCTTGGACATTCAAGTTTTCTTGTTGGCAACCCTGCACAACTGACGCTTATAGAAGCCACAGACCATCAATAAAGCCAAATTGTTTATCATTATGCTTTCAAAATTTCGCTTGGAAAATTATGATTGGAAACTTTTTAAGATAGAATATTTGTTGTTGTAACCTTGTCTGAAACTAATAACTTTCTTCAGCTAGTTCGATGAAACAAAAATGCATCGAAAGTGTTAAGTTATTTTAAAACAAATGGCAAACACAGGGGCTTTGCGAAGCTTCGTATCTTTTGCAAAACCACACAAAAATTAACACAGAAGCGAAGCGGAGCATTGCAACACTTGCATTACAAATTCAAACATTCGTTAAAAGATGTTTAATAGAAAGAAGAGGCAATTAATTTTATTGCAAAATCAAGCTTAAAAAATTACTTTAAAATAAGTCGAAAAAATAATCTGCTAAAATTTCATGCTTTTGTCTCGGATGCTGATCATTAACGACCCTAACAAACAATGAGAATCAAGGACCGAGTGGAAACTAAGGGGAAGCATTTGGGTCGAATAAAAATTGCCAAGACTCAAACTTTCCAAAAATTGAGCTTAATTTCGAATATTGTACGTTTTCAGGGTAGTTCCTTTTTTTCATTAAAAGACGCAACACCAGATGTCCAGCAAAGACTCGCAATCTGTTTTTTCAGTTAAACCATTAGCCTCAAATTTGGTGGGAAGTTTTTAAGAAAAAGAAATTTCCAAAAAAGAAATAAGTTTCTAAATCTAAAAAAGTCAAAAGTATCAAAAGCAAATCACATACGTCTTTTTTTAACAAAAAGGAACGTGCCACCAATAAGACAGACAAAAATATAAAGCTATGCAGCAAAAATTACCCAAATACAAAAAAGCAAAACCACCAAACAAAAAGTACATTTACATGCGGTTTAGGTTGGAAAAAAATGTGGATATCGTAATGTGACACTACAATGCGAGGGTCTAAAAAAGAAATATTTTATTACTTATCCAAATTGAAAACACTAATGAATTTACAAAAGAGTCTGAGCCGATCTAACATAAGCCGATTTAACTGAAAAACAAGAACAAAATCTGAGATGGTAAATTTACAACTTAGAACAGAAATCAAATTAGCAAAAAATTTTGAATAAAAAAAATAAAACAGAGTAAAAACAGAGCTTCGCAGTACTTTCAATACAATCAAAACATTGCATTAAACTATATTGTAAAGAGGGAATATAATTTTTTAAATTTAAGCTAGAAAAATTAGTCCAAATATATTTAAAAAAAAACAAAGTTTTTTTAGCTTTGTCTCGGATGATGTTCATGAACAGCCCTCACAAAAACTAAGAATCATTGAACTAGTGGCAACAAGGCGACAAATTTGAAACGAAAAAAAGTACACTAAATATAAAAATTGTTAGAGCTATCAAATTTTGAAATTCAAAATTGTTTGTAACCTTTCCCTCCTGAAACACGCAACAGCATCAAAAATCTTCGATTAATCTACAAAATATAAGATAACTAAGCCGAAATAACAAAACCTGGCTTCGCTCAACCCAAAAAAAAACGAATTAAATTATTCAAAATTGAAGTTGGTAAAAATTACTAGCTACAGAACAACTCTCAATTATATAAAATTTGTTAGTATACCACATAATGTGAAATGCATTGGGAAAAAAGTGGAAAATTAGCGCACAGATAATAGGACTAAAACACAAATCTCAAAAAAAATCAATTTTTTTTTCAATAAATACATTTGAAAAATCATTCACTGCCTAAAAAGATCTAAAAAGTAGTTTTATTTAAAATTCATTATGTCACCTTGTACGCTAAATGGAAAACATGCAATTAAAGAGTACCTACAAAATATGTAAGAACAGTTGTTTACGGGAAAAAAAATTCCCCAATTACAAGTGAATTGCTCTCGCAATTGAAAAAAAAACATATGAAATCGAAAAAAGAAAAAAAACTAAGCATACCAAAACTTTCACATGTCTCGATAAAAGTTCATTGAAAGTTCCCCTGAAACTACGATTGCAATTAAATTACTTACAGCAGAAGGCAACTCTTTGATTTGGCTACTAAGCCGGCAAAACTTGAGCACTACTTCAGTTTCACACTTACTGAAAAAACAAGGTTCAGCGGACGCGAACCCCAGATTTTAGTGTGCAAATGCTACCATGCTACCTTTCGGCCATGTGGCAATGAGCTTGGAAGTTGTTAAGGTTCAATACTAAAGCAAGTTAAAGCATTGCTAGTAAAATTGCTTACGGTAAAAAGAGTCTAGTTCCCAATTACAAGACTTATGCTTTCTCAATAATTTTAACTGAAGTTAAATAAAATGTAGACATAAACTCAGGACGAGAACTCAAAACACAGGCAATAAAACCCAGAAAAAATATCAAAATCTATGAAATATGAAAAAATTATTTAAAATTTTTGGACATAAAACTGAAGAACTATGTTCTATAGAACATTTTTGTGAAGAAAACTCGAAGTTTCTTCGCATTTTTTTAAATCAATTACAGCTCTAAGAACAATGCTAAAGCTTAGCTGTTAAGCTTATCTTTAAGCTTTCAAAAAATGAAAACAAAGAGGAGATTTCGTTTGATAAGTAGTGATTTACGTTTGAGGACGCATAATTCACTGTGTCACTCTTACGAGAGTGCGTCACTACGGCGCTACGACAGAGGCAGAGCCGACAACATCCGCTCGAACAGCGCATCCACTCGGAGACTAATCGAAGCCCTGACGAGTAGAAACTACCCCGAAAGAGTCACTGATACTCGCAAACTACTGTATGAGGCTTGTGATGTCCAGCAGAAACAGATAGACTCGGTCAGTATTCCAGTATTCTCACACAAATCACAAGGTTTTTTCAAATGCACTTCGTGTCATTGGTTTTTCCAGTCAAATTCGGAACTTTTTTTTGAATTTTAATAGTTTGAACTATTTTTCCTGTTTTCTTGTTTCAAAAAACCACGAACTGTGTAGAAAAATTTGGCAAAAAGAGTGAGAATTTCTTTTGCGCGAGCGACTAAAAGTCAAGCAAATTTCAAAAATTTGAAAACCAGCCCCTGGTCATCATAGAATATATATTATGTTACTTGTAACCTATAACAATTGATTATATAAGCGTCAAAACGAACAAAGATCTGACTTTTGGGTCAACAAATAATCTTAATTTAGGTGATTCGAGGTCAAGGTGCCGATATGCTTCTGCAGTGCCTGAAAGACTTCTGTAGAGAGAAAAATGTGGAGGATGCATTTCTCCAGTCGGAAGAGCTCGCTTCAACATTCGACTTCAGACTCACAACCAGCCAAGTGAGCAAACAGGGGCGGATCTAGGATTTTCCCGAGGAAGGGGCGGATTTTCAAAAAATTTTCGAAAAGTTTGACGAACTTTTTTTTAGATCGACAAAATTGATTTTCCCAGCTCTCTTAAAGCACCAAAAAGGCGTTGTTTTGGCCAGGCATTTTTTTTTTAAAAAAAGATCAAAAACGCCGTTTTTGGGAACTTTTTAAAAAACTTTGACAAAAATCGCGTTTTTTGGCGCGCGCTCCTCCTCAAACTTAGTACATATTGGCGCCTTTAGAAAAATTTTAGAGTCGGTCGGCCAAAAATCGATTTCTTAAAGTACCAAAGAGGGGCCGCTTTGGGTCGGCAGAGAGTCGAGTCCCTGAGGGTCCGCCCCTCCCCTTAATCCACCCCTGCCTGAAGGCGCAAAAAGTTAACTTTAGTCAAGCTCATCACTTTAAACACTGGTTAATTTGTTCATTTTGTTAATTTGTTCATTTTATGGCATCATTTTATATGTTGGCTAGCACACCTTGAGTTGAAATAACCTTAATTTAAAAATAAAATGATGATATGAGTAAGAAAGGGTTTTTGTCCAGATGAGTTCTGGCAAGTCGGAGCAGTTCGCGTACTATGGCCCAGTGAGCCGGGATGGATACGGAGTGTGCTACAATCTGCACGACGACCTCATCAGTCTAGTGGTTTCCTCTCTCAATTCTTCTCCCCATTCACAGCAACAGCAATTTGTAGAAGAAATTCACAACGCCAAGAGAGCATTGAAGCAACTGGCTTGTATCCAGTAGCCTTTCTTCGACTACAACAACCGAATATCCAAAACCATGAGAGCCAATCAGACTTCAGTATAAAAACTAACGAGAAGAGAGCAGACCTATCAGCCAGCTTAAGATAGTTTGGGGGACGTTGAGTGGTTGAAAGTTTTCGTGCACTTGGCTTCACTGTCAGTGAGAATATCTCCCATAAATGTAAATTAACAGGGTCAGGTCAAAGGATTTATGGAAAAATCTCCTTGTGATTATTACCCAAATAGTGCTACATAAATAGTGATATATAACAATAGGTGGCAAATACAACTCACATATAACTCAATAGAGAAAACTTCACTTCGGTTCCCATCGGATTCTAACCCGTGTATCTGTATCTGGGTCACGAGTCAGACGAGAGAGGAGAATATCAATGAGCCATTCCATTTCTATTCATGCGTATCTTCCTTTTTCAATTAACATTTTGCTTCTTTCGGATTAAACATTAAAATTGCACTTGCTAACGCATCTAACTTAAGAACCAGAGGCCCGGGTTCAAATCTAGCAAGGCACTTAAGTTTCGTAAAGGTTAGAAAGTTAACCTGATAATTATTGATTGACATGTATTATTCAGAGTTGTATTGTGTTGCAATTATGAAGTTCTAAAAATGGCAATTGACTCTAACTTACCATTTCCTTGATTTAATATATGAATTTCATTATTTACCACGTATATGCATGGCTATTTTTCTGAATTGTATTCAATTAATTGTCAATTTTGAATGAAAGACTTTCTTCTAAAGAGAAGATCGTATTTATTGCTCCTACTTTTGAAGGAAATTACTGAATACTTACTTGTGAGTTTTTTTATTCAGACAAGTTTTGACTTTTTATTTAACCGTTTTTGATAAAATTTTTATACACTCTGAAAGATATAAAAAGATATTTCAATAGCCATAATTTACCCGAAAGTAATTGGGTTTTGAAAAAGCCAATTTGGGATAATTATGCGCGCTTTATTATAGCCAAATAACAGTTAGAAAAGAGTCAATAACGCAAGGAAACAGAAAAAAATTGACTTGTTTTTTTGAAAAAACTTCAACTTGCCAGAAAAAATATTGGCCCTTTAAGTTCTTTGACTTTCACGAACTATTTACTCTTGACCCTTTTCTGATAAGAAAACCTAATTTGATAAAACTTGTATAATAGGTAAAACTTTTATTCCGCTGGGAAATCCAAGAATTAAATTCCATTTCCGAAAAAGATTGAAAACCCAACAGCAATATTTCGATGAACCAAAACTCTTTCAAGGTGAAATTTCTGAGAATCCATATTCTGGCTCTGATAAATAACAATTAAGTCGACGACGTGCCTGTAAACTCAATTTTTACAAAAAATTTGAGTACAATTAAATTTTAAAATGGCAAAATTTCTAACTGTTTCATTTTCTGGATCTAATTTTGGTACCCTAATTTTTTCACAGTACTGAAAAATCTTTGCCTTTTTAAGGAAAAAAAACAATAAATTTTTATGATAAGCAATAAACATACCTTTTATTTTTGGATAAAAACTGAGTTTTCCTGGTTAATTTCAGGCATTTTTCTTCAAGCTTATAAGAAAACTTAATTTTGGAAAAACTCAAATGTATATTACGAGCTGAAGTGTGATCAAACTTGATCACATTTCAGCTCGTATACATTTGAGTTTTTCCAAAAATTGAGTTTACATTTAAGTTTAAGTTAACTTCTTGATGATGCGTTTTTAATGTAGCCCAATATATTCACTGCGCTCATTACTCTTTAAAAGTATTGAATTGTTTTTGAAAATTTACAAATATTTTCGAAAAAACTTTATGTATCTTAAAGCGCAGGCAGAACATTCATGGCTTTGCCCTGATACTAGCAGTCATATAATATCCAGCGTATGTATGTTCTTTATAAAAATTCAGACACTATGAAAGAGATTCACGAAGTAAAAACTATTTCTTAAAAAGTCCGAAGTACAAAATAAAAATTAATAATACTTCAAAAGCAGCAAAAAAAAGTTGATTAATTTAACAGCTACATGTATCTGGCCAAACAAAGAAAATTTTAGTTTTATTTCATCAAAGGAAGCTTTTGAGTGACTTGATCGACTAAACTGACAGGTCCTGGCCCAATAGCGACCACTGTTTCCGATCCCCGAGCGACTTGAGTCCTTCCCGCATCTCTAATTATAGCAACTGACAAACCCAAAGTTTTTCCTTTCTCGAACAATTGTTTGAGATGTTCCAGGGTTTCCACTTGGGTTATAATGGTAGGCTGACCATAGAACTGCCATGATTCTCTGATGGTCTCTGGCGAAATGAGGTATGCCTTCATAGCCCCGTGTGCACATTGAGCTGCTATTTTACCCTTGCCTGAAACACATTTTACATTTCACGCATTAGATCAAAACATGAATTCCAATTAATTTTTCATCATCAACATGCATCCCAGTAATATTTCAACCCAAATGGTTCAAATTGCGTTTTTGAGTTAATTTAAACGATCATAATAGCTCCAAAACAATATAGTGGCTTGTGATTGATACAAAAATTCATACCCAGTCAGCCAATAAATCAGACAAAAATAAGGATAGCAATAGCGTGTGTGATTAAGGGCAACAATAATCTTTCAGAGCGGGAGCTTGCTTTGATCACTCTGTGTTGTAGCTCAAAAAAATGAGAACTACATGAACAGATCACATTACTGGCCCATTTTGAGATCTGATCTGACAGCGATGACTAGTTTGAATTCTCCTTTCATCGCTTCTATTTTGGCGTGTGCAACAGAATGCGGGTAGTAGTATTTGGACACCACTGCGGATACCACTCTGCGGATTGAGTGTAGTCTCAAATAGTTGCCCAAGATGAAGCCTAGACCCACTCCTCCCCCGAGGAGCAGAACTGAGTCCATACAAATCTGAAACATCTCCAAGTCCACCAGAGCACGAACACGTATACTAACCAGAATTACATGCAGTAAAAAGAAAGGATTCTCTCTGACTCGAACAGTTCACGCCCTAAAGCTACTACTTACTATTTCACGCCGTCCCTTTGACCGGCACAAGTGTTTCTAAAGCCGCCTTGAACGACTGCATTGCCCATAATCCGTCAAAGGGGATGAACTAAGAGTACAGTTTTTGTTGAAACGATCAAAGACGAGCATAAAAGACGATCAAAGACGAGAAAGCAAACAACTTCACCGAATAAAACAAATATGTCAGAAAAACATTGTTTTTGCTTCAGAAGAGCACAGATTATTAAGTTATTCATTTTACGGCTCCAATGAAAACTCACAAGCCTACTGCATGTCAAATTCCAGGTTCTTGTCTCGCATTTTTGAACTGCTTGCCTCCAACCTTCGAAAAAGTCAAAAACCTGTCGGTTAATTTAAAACAAAGCGATACGTTTTTCAGTTAAAATAAGTTCTCAAGTCAAAACTTGCTTCTCGACTCCTTCATTCTCGACTCCTTCATTCTCGACTCCTTGATTCTCGACTCCTTGATTCTCGACTCCTTGATTCTCGACTCCTTCATTCTCGACTCCTTGATTCTCGACTCCTTGATTCTCGACTCCTTGATTCTCGACTCCTTCATTCTCGACTCCTTGATTCTCGGCTCCTTGATTCTCGACTCCTTGATTCTCGACTCCTTCATTCTCGACTCCTTGATTCTCGACTCCTTGATTCTCGACTCCTTGATTCTCGACTCCTTGATTCTCGACTCCTTCATTCTCGACTCCTTGATTCTCGACTCCTTGATTCTCGACTCCTTGATTCTCGACTCCTTGATTCTCGACTCCTTGATTCTCGACTCCTTGATTCTCGACTCCTTCATTCTCGACTCCTTGATTCTCGACTCCTTGATTCTCGACTCCTTGATTCTCGACTCCTTCATTCTCGACTCCTTGATTCTCGACTCCTTGATTCTCGACTCCTTGATTCTCGACTCCTTGAATCTCGACTCCTTCATTCTCGACTCCTTGATTCTCGACTCCTTGATTCTCGACTCCTTCATTCTCGACTCCTTGATTCTCGACTCCTTGATTCTCGACTCCTTGATTCTCGACTCCTTCATTCTCGACTCCTTGATTCTCGACTCCTTGATTCTCGACTCCTTGATTCTCGACTCCTTCATTCTCGACTCCTTGATTCTCGACTCCTTGATTCTCGACTCCTTGATTCTCGACTCCTTGATTCTCGACTCCTTGATTCTCGACTCCTTGATTCTCGACTCCTTCATTCTCGACTCCTTGATTCTCGACTCCTTCATTCTCGACTCCTTGATTCTCGACTCCTTGATTCTCGACTCCTTGATTCTCGACTCCTTGAATCTCGACTCCTTCATTCTCGACTCCTTGATTCTCGACTCCTTGATTCTCGACTCCTTGATTCTCGACTCCTTCATTCTCGACTCCTTGATTCTCGACTCCTTGATTCTCGACTCCTTGATTCTCGACTCCTTCATTCTCGACTCCTTGATTCTCGACTCCTTGATTCTCGACTCCTTGATTCTCGACTCCTTGATTCTCGACTCCTTCATTCTCGACTCCTTGATTCTCGACTCCTTGATTCTCGACTCCTTCATTCTCGACTCCTTCATTCTCGACTCCTTCATTCTCGACTCCTTGATTCTCGACTCCTTGATTCTCGACTCCTTGATTCTCGACTCCTTCATTCTCGACTCCTTGATTCTCGACTCCTTGATTCTCGACTCCTTGATTCTCGACTCCTTCATTCTCGACTCCTTGATTCTCGACTCCTTCATTCTCGACTCCTTGATTCTCGACTCCTTGATTCTCGACTCCTTGATTCTCGACTCCTTCATTCTCGACTCCTTGATTCTCGACTCCTTGATTCTCGACTCCTTGATTCTCGACTCCTTCATTCTCGACTCCTTGATTCTCGACTCCTTGATTCTCGACTCCTTGATTCTCGACTCCTTGATTCTCGACTCCTTGATTCTCGACTCCTTGATTCTCGACTCCTTGATTCTCGACTCCTTGATTCTCGACTCCTTGATTCTCGACTCCTTGATTCTCGACTCCTTGATTCTCGACTCCTTGATTCTCGACTCCTTGATTCTCGACTCCTTGATTCTCGACTCCTTGATTCTCGACTCCTTGATTCTCGACTCCTTGATTCTCGACTCCTTGATTCTCGACTCCTTGATTCTCGACTCCTTGATTCTCGACTCCTTGATTCTCGACTCCTTGATTCTCGACTCCTTGATTCTCGACTCCTTGATTCTCGACTCCTTGATTCTCGACTCCTTCATTCTCGACTCCTTCATTCTCGACTCCTTGATTCTCGACTCCTTGATTCTCGACTCCTTGATTCTCGACTCCTTGATTCTCGACTCCTTGATTCTCGACTCCTTGATTCTCGACTCCTTGATTCTCGACTCCTTGATTCTCGACTCCTTGATTCTCGACTCCTTGATTCTCGACTCCTTGATTCTCGACTCCTTGATTCTCGACTCCTTGATTCTCGACTCCTTGATTCTCGACTCCTTGATTCTCGACTCCTTGATTCTCGACTCCTTGATTCTCGACTCCTTGATTCTCGACTCCTTGATTCTCGACTCCTTCATTCTCGACTCCTTGATTCTCGACTCCTTCATTCTCGACTCCTTGATTCTCGACTCCTTGATTCTCGACTCCTTGATTCTCGACTCCTTCATTCTCGACTCCTTGATTCTCGACTCCTTGATTCTCGACTCCTTGATTCTCGACTCCTTCATTCTCGACTCCTTGATTCTCGACTCCTTCATTCTCGACTCCTTGATTCTCGACTCCTTGATTCTCGACTCCTTGATTCTCGACTCCTTCATTCTCGACTCCTTGATTCTCGACTCCTTGATTCTCGACTCCTTGATTCTCGACTCCTTGATTCTCGACTCCTTGATTCTCGACTCCTTGATTCTCGACTCCTTGATTCTCGACTCCTTGATTCTCGACTCCTTGATTCTCGACTCCTTGATTCTCGACTCCTTGATTCTCGACTCCTTGATTCTCGACTCCTTCATTCTCGACTCCTTGATTCTCGACTCCTTGATTCTCGACTCCTTGATTCTCGACTCCTTGATTCTCGACTCCTTGATTCTCGACTCCTTCATTCTCGACTCCTTCATTCTCGACTCCTTGATTCTCGACTCCTTCATTCTCGACTCCTTGATTCTCGACTCCTTGATTCTCGACTCCTTCATTCTCGACTCCTTGATTCTCGACTCCTTGATTCTCGACTCCTTGATTCTCGACTCCTTCATTCTCGACTCCTTGATTCTCGACTCCTTCATTCTCGACTCCTTGATTCTCGACTCCTTGATTCTCGACTCCTTGATTCTCGACTCCTTGATTCTCGACTCCTTCATTCTCGACTCCTTGATTCTCGACTCCTTGATTCTCGACTCCTTGATTCTCGACTCCTTGATTCTCGACTCCTTGATTCTCGACTCCTTGATTCTCGACTCCTTCATTCTCGACTCCTTCATTCTCGACTCCTTGATTCTCGACTCCTTGATTCTCGACTCCTTGATTCTCGACTCCTTGATTCTCGACTCCTTGATTCTCGACTCCTTGATTCTCGACTCCTTGATTCTCGACTCCTTGATTCTCGACTCCTTGATTCTCGACTCCTTGATTCTCGACTCCTTCATTCTCGACTCCTTGATTCTCGACTCCTTGATTCTCGACTCCTTGATTCTCGACTCCTTGATTCTCGGTTCCTTGATTCTCGACTCCTTGATTCTCGACTCCTTCATTCTCGACTCCTTGATTCTCGACTCCTTGATTCTCGACTCCTTGATTCTCGACTCCTTGATTCTCGACTCCTTGATTCTCGACTCCTTCATTCTCGACTCCTTCATTCTCGACTCCTTGATTCTCGACTCCTTGATTCTCGACTCCTTGATTCTCGACTCCTTGATTCTCGACTCCTTGATTCTCGACTCCTTGATTCTCGACTCCTTGATTCTCGACTCCTTGATTCTCGACTCCTTGATTCTCGACTCCTTGATTCTCGACTCCTTGATTCTTGACTCCTTGATTCTCGACTCCTTCATTCTCGACTCCTTGATTCTCGACTCCTTGATTCTCGACTCCTTGATTCTCGACTCCTTGATTCTCGACTCCTTGATTCTCGACTCCTTGATTCTCGACTCCTTGATTCTCGACTCCTTGATTCTCGACTCCTTGATTCTCGACTCCTTCATTCTCGACTCCTTGATTCTCGACTCCTTGATTCTCGACTCCTTGATTCTCGACTCCTTGATTCTCGACTCCTTGATTCTCGACTCCTTGATTCTCGACTCCTTCATTCTCGACTCCTTGATTCTCGACTCCTTGATTCTCGCAACTCGGATTAGTTAGAGCACCAAATAAAAATAACTGTTACGGAAAATTAAAAAGGAAGTAGAACTGAAAAAATATATTTTCAATTAGCTTTAAAAACAAGATGGTAAAAAACAATACATACATCACATTTGATATTTATATTCAAAACATTGCGTCATAAAACAGCTATTCAAAACCCTCTGATCAATTTAGTCACTACTCTCGTCCGAATCCTCGTCTGTGTTTTCCATAATAACGGGGGGTGCCTCCACAACAAAATGAGATGCAGATGTTGTCGATGCTCCGTCTTTCGCAAACCCAGTCTTCACATCGGGGCGTTTGACATGTTCAACTTCTGACGAAGACGCGCTAGACGACGTCTCAAAATCACTGTCTTCTTGTGCTCGCAAACTTTGGGATGAGCTTTGCTGGCCTTCAGTTACGGCAGGCGTTCTTTCAGAAACAGCATTGTGTGTAGCTGCAGCTTGTTTCATTTCAGTTTCTACCAGCGGAGACTTTGACATTTTAGGAGACGCTGCCTTTTTCGGTGATTTTTTGACAACTCCTTTACTCGTTGGCAACTTTTCAGGTTGTTTTGACTTTGAAGTTTTACCAGGAGCTTTGCGGTAAGCTGAAACAGATGAGATATCACCAAACATAGCCAACTGAAGATTGGAAAAGAGTAATGAACGCAAGTAAACATTAAAAAAAAAACACTTTCAAATTTCAAAGAAAAAAAATAAATGCCCTTTAAGCTCTTTGAACTTCTAGAACGATTTATGTCTGCCGCTTTTTTGACAACATTAACCCAACTTGAGAAAACTGGATCAACACGTAAAGTTTTTATTCCGTTGGAAATCTAAAAATTAAATTCCACTTTCGAAACTAGAAATCCTTCACGAATTTTCCCGCCATCTCCACGTTCGTATTTGGAGTGCTATTTACGTCATTTTCAGCAGATAAATTCCAATTGAACTCGAATAGTGCATATTTTAAGACTTTTTACTGCATCAATATTTTAAGACTTTTTCCTGAAAAAAAAATCAGCAAGACCTATATAAGTCTTCACTACGTTCAGTACTCTTGATCACCACTTTATACTATGCCAGTTTACCCTCTACGAGACTCCCTCTCACTTGGCCAAGAGGTAACGCGGTCCCCTAAGGTCTGGGATTCGAGTCCCGGCGGGGCCTTGTTTTTAACAGTATGCTTGAAATTTAAAATTAGACGTCTGCTTATCGTTTGTCGGCTTAGTTGACCCATCGGGGGAATTTTTTGTGCTGGTTTTCGTTTTTTTCCCACTTGAAAGCTTTATTCTGACTAAATGGTTTCGGCTTATGCTTTATCTGCTTAGTTACAGTTTTTTGTGTCGCTTCAAAGGCAAAAAAGTAATATGGTGTAGCAAGCTTTAAAAGTTTCAAAAACTAATTTCTCATAACTTTTCATGACAACAATTTTTTAGGGCAGCTTTTGTTTTCGGCTCAATGGGCTTCTACCCATTTGGGGTCAGCTTAGCGCCGCTCGGTAAATACTAAAAGCTGATTTAAACTGGTGGTTGTTTTTTTCTAAATCATTTTCATTCCCCTTCCCCTCCCCTCCAAAAAAACGGAGTGCTGCGCTTGCGTTGTATCGCAAGTGAGGCAAAGCTCCGCTTTGGCATGTGTAAATTGGTAACCAGCACGTATTAATGCGTTTCGGACAAAAATGAAGACCCATTTGAGTAGCAAATTAAAGCTAAATAATATTAAAACGCAACTCAACAATTGCCTTACCGGATGGACGTTTTCACAACTAACGGAATAAAATCTACAGCTTTGCTTGGTTTTAAGCAGAATAAAGGCAAAACTGATACCTTTCTGTCTATTTTATCATAAAAAAGGCATCATTTTCTTTGGTCATGTCATGTAACAACACTATCTACGAGTTCTTAGCGTACCCTGGAAAAGTTAAGATGGAACTCTAACTAACGCAGCATCAATGGAAACGCTTGGTTGCTTTGCTTCGTAGCGCCACAAGCACAGCCACGAAGTTTTTCCATTTTGTCCAAAGGATGAAACAAAATAGCAAAATGCAGCAGGCACAGGTAAACAGCATTATCATTGCGAAAAAAAGAAAAGAAAGACGCTCGCCCTACCCTTTGTTTGTGCGTATTTTGAAACACGCGATGAAACTATTGTAAACAGCGCATTGATGAAACAAAAACGAATTCTAGTTTTTTTTAGATAAGACTATACAATTACCGAATAATTTTATATCGTTTTGAAAAAATCAAAACAAGCAAGATTAAACAAACAACACACTTCGCCTGAAAAAATCTTTAAACGTTTTTAGAAACAACAAACTATTGAAAATAATAAACTTCAAAAACATGAGCGTCTTTTTAATTGACAGTGAAAAAGAATTAAAAACCAAAAAAGTTATTTCGTTACAGTTTTAACACAAAAAACTACTTTTAACAAAAGGAATACAAAAAGACAACCAGGAAAAGAAGTACACAGCAACTTAAGTTGACAGAGTAAAACAACGAATTCGTCGAGCAATTTTGAACAAAATTACCGACAATTTTAATTGATTGAATTCTGATGTGATAGAACTTCAGGCTTGCTTGGTCTTCAATTTTCAAAGGAAATGACTACCTTTAAAAAAGGTAAGAACCCAGAGAGAAAAACCTATAAATCAGATGTCAACAAACTCAATTTTTTTTCAAATATGCAAAAACTAATGAACTATTTTATCTTTACCAAAAAAGGCGATAAACAAAACCGATGGAACAACCAAACGCAACAAAAACTTGAACCAATTCTGTGGCTTGAACTGGGCAAATAAAAACAAAAAAATGACTTTTTTAAAGAGTCTAGAAGGTTGATTTAAACTTTTCCAAATATTCAACTTAGAAATCAATCACTCTCACATAATAACAAAGAAAGTAAATAAAAAAAACATTCGGAAAATATTATGTGAAAATAAATGTATTGTTCTTTCATGCTTTAAACTCAATTTAATTTTGAACGAGCTATCATTACGTTGCTTAGATATTTTAATGACAAGCAGCCATTAACCTTTCAGAACAAATCACTTTTTGATATGTATACGGATTTATTCAACGCGTTGTTTTGGCTTTAGAAATTAAAAACATGGGGTAACTTTTTATTATTACGAACACAGGGTAAAATGACACAGGCTAAACTGATAGAACTCGGAATGGAAGAAGGTAAATTGTCATTCAGACCAAAGATATACAGATCGATTGAACTGGCATATTCTGATTTCAGTCAAATTGGCAATTTTTCCAATGAAACATTTCCTGTATTTTATTTATTATAACAAACATTATTTAAAGTTTACAGACAGTAAAGAAATTGAACATACAGAGATATTGGCTAAAGAAAATATTTTACACAGACGCGAAGCTGCGCTTCGCAAACACGAGCCAGAACACGGCAAAAAGCAGCTCTATAAAGTGCAAAGGAAAAAAACAGAAATAAGCTTTGAATTAGTAAAAAGTAGGCAAAGTCTCGGATTCAAACCTACTGCTAGCTAGAGATGAACCCAACGCACTAACCACTCAGCAACGGACGCTTAATTTTTTGACAAATACTGCATACCATCAGTTCTCTGCTTTTTGTAGCTAGTGTTTTTCAATAATAATAGCGAGCTAGCGAGCGTTAGGGTAGAAAAAAGAAGGTTCATACTAATAAACTAACTAGCAGTATGAACCTTCTTTTTTCTACCCTAACTCGCAAATTGAAGTGTTTACTTTTATTCCTCATCAAGAAAGAATGAAATATTTTTTTCTCTGAACCATTTTAAGAAAAACTCAAGCTAAATGTCGTACGGAAAACTATCATGGAAATCGTTCAAGTACTCTTCACACTAGCGAGGTTGCGAGCGTTAGTGTATTAGTACGAACCTTCTTTTTTTCTAACCTAATTCGCAAATTGAAGTGTTCACTTTTATGGAACTTTCACTGTAGCATTCGAAATTGCATACCACCTGTTCCCTGCTTTTTGTAGCTAATTTCGAATGCTACAGTGAAATTTCCATAAAAGTGAACACTTCAATTTGCGAGTTAGGTAAGAAAAAAAGAAGGTTCCCACTAATACACTAACGCTCGCAACCTCGCTAGTGGGAAGAGTTCTTGAACGATTTCCATGATAGTTTTCCGTACGAAACTTAGCTTGAGTCTTTCTTAAAATGGTTCAGAATAAAAAAAAATATTTAATAATTTCTTGATGAGGAATAAATTACATTTGCAAAAAGTTGCTCCATTAATTGGTGATCATTATGCATAAAATACTTTGTTTAAAAACACTTTTTTGCGTATTGGCTATTGCAGAGAACGGTCTAAGCCCTTTCTTTTATCTCTCATGCAAATAGTAATTTACTATCGTTAAATTCATTCGACCTTTAGTAACCACAAAAAAATTGGCGAAGAACCATTTTAAAATCGTTTTAAAAATTGAGCTGAACGTCGATTTCACAAACAAATTCACTAAATAAATACACAGAGGAGAAGCTGCGCGTCGCAAAAACTAACGAGAACACGACAGCAGCTCTATAAAGTGAAATGAGGAAAATAGAAAAAAGTCTCAAATTAGCGAAAACTCTTCTACTGCAATCAAAAGATTTAGAGTCTCATGCACTAATTATTTAGCCACGGACGCTTGCTAAATCACAACAATAGCCACAATTGAACCAGGAAGCACAGAACATGTGCTATGAAATTTCCAATGCTACAGATCGTGATTATAGCAAAAACGCCACCAAAAAAGTGAACACTTTTAAAGAACTTTTATTTGAGTAAGTAAGAAAAAACGAAGGTTCGTACTAATAAATTACACTGACTAACAAACAATAATTGAATGCAGTGATTCCTTTGGAGCTTTAACAAGCAGTAAATGCCGGTTAGATAACTTAAGAAGAGCGACCAAATTATTCAGTTTTATATGCGGGACGCGATAGATTCAGTTTTGTATAGTGCCTCACATGGACTGTGCAACAGCCACACTGACGGATAATCAATAATCCACCATATATTGAAATAGAAATTGCATCAGGATTAGGTAATAATTGCACAACAATGACAATATGTTGTCATGTTGTATAACAACATTAATTTTCGGCTTGTCGGAACGGTAATCCTATTTTCGGTTTGTTGATTCTTCGGCTCTTTGGCCTACCACCAGCCATACCATTACCATAGCATATAAGATGACAAAGTGACTTATGCTCTGCTTCACTCACCCTCTAGGCACTTGCGGAGGGGGTTGACAAACTGGTCCATCTCCATGTCCTTCATGGCACTCAGGATGTCATAGGGGGTGATCGTCTTCCGCTTCTCGGCCACTGCCACATTGTTCGCACTATACACACACACGCACAAAAGAGCATTAGATACAACATAATATACTTGATGCAAACCGCCATCGTTTTAACAGTTCAAAAATGAGTTACACCTATGTAAAAAAACACGAGGAAACGTCACGTTAAATCCAAGTAGAAAAAAACTTCCCATCACTAATGAAGAAAGGGACAAAAGAGTTATAAGCGAACGATAATAGTTAAAATTTAGAAAAGTGGCAAACATCAATTATTCTTTCATGACGGCAGGCGAACTCGATACAGCAGGAGGGATCAACAACCCAAAGACACGTACCAAGCTGTTGTGTAGAGGACGAAAATACTGGCCGCTCTGCCAATCGCAGTTCTCGCTTCTTTCGACACATTCACGTGTGCAGGCAACTACAACAAGAAAGGAAAACGTTAACATTTTTGAACAATAGTCATATAAAAACCATTTCAAAGTTTCGCACAAGCTTCCAAAAATATATCCAATTATAATCAAGTTCAGGGCTCTCATATGTCCGTATGTATTTGGTCAAAGCCTAATTGAAACAGTGATGATTTAGCGATGAAACATTGTTGCATGGAAGCAGGCTTGGCTTGACGGAGAAAGAGCTTACTGAGTCCTTAACAAGTTTCGTCACCACAGACGCAGGCAGGTTCAAGTCTTCTGGTCGAGTTGCCATTTACAACCATCTAAAATGCAATTCCATAAAAGAAGCCAACCTCTATTTTCCCACTATTTCACTTGCTGCCAAATAGATATGAACTTGAAAAGTGAAACTATTGGATCAAAAAATTAAAATTAAAACAGAAACGAAAACTCCGACACAACTTAAACATTTAAGTATTACTCAATCATTTTAGGACAAACTGCAATCCATTCAAGACGAAAAGCTTAACAAAAACAAAGATCGTGCACATGACACAAGCCAGTCAAACATATCATCTGCCGGAAATGGATCATGAAAATATCCAAGATATATTGATGCCAGCAGCGCCCAACGAGATCGTATCCAGTTTTCCATAATTATGACGATCGTGCAGAAAGACGAAGAGGAGCAAAGAGTGGAAAACATTGTAGTTTCCATCCGGTATTTGGAGAAGCTTGTCTTTGAACACAACCCCAAAAGTGGGTGGTTTGTTTGATATTTGAGCCAGCATTATCTTCCTGTTATCTTTCAACATCTTCTGAAGGCTACTTGCTGGCACAAAAAAGAGCGACTTCAGTCGATTCTCAGTGACGTAAGAAGCATGTGAAGTTGCATGTTGGTCCAAATAGGTGAAGAAAACATGCAGAACAATATCAGCATCAGTTGGCCAACTCTCGTTCCATTTCTGTCCGTTGAAGCTGGCTCCTCCGTTATGGTTAAAATTGGCGACGCAAGAATCACGTGCGAGGGTTTGTAGGCGTTGGAAAAGGTACTCCTGGTTTGAGGTCATGTGTAGGTAGGGAATGACCTTTTCGAGCAGAGTCAAATTCACATTGCACTGCTGGCGGATGAGAGCAAAGGAGCTGACATTGGATCTGCCCAGTCTTACCTCGGTCACTCCATTCTGCTCAAGAAGCTTGTTCGCATCCTCAATTGCCTAGAACAAGTTGCATATTATAGCCTAACACTAACCCACTCAAATAACGTCTAAAAATAACATGCTTTCACGTTTACATAGATACTGTAGCGGATTTAGGGGGGGGGGGGGGCGACCACTCTTTCTCATTGATTCGAACACCCAAAAAGTCCCCCTTTCCTACTATTTTACAACACTCTTCTTCACCCGGCCGACTTAAAATTTTTCTCTAAGCGCCCTTGGCTGAAACTATACTAACTTTGAGAAGCGCGTAAAAAATGCGATTTTAAAGGTTTTAAATGTTCAAAAAAAGTGTCCAAAAATGGCATTTTTGGCCAGTTTTTTCAAAAACTTGCTTACGGCAGAGAAAAATAAGGGAAAATAGCCAGTTAAATTTTTAAAAAAGAATGCGTCGGCTTGCGCTTGCTATATCAACATTTGTTTACTCAACTTCGTTCACTCAGATATCGTGTTTTATTTTAGTCAAGTCTTCAACAAATCAAGCGACATTTAAAACAATGAAAGATTACGCTTAATTTTATAACTCGTCTTAGTAAAGCAATTAGCGCAAGCTTATCGGCACATATTCTGGGTTTTTTTTAGGTTATACCCCCCTCCCCCCTAAATAATGAAAACGTAAAATTTTTCAACATTCAAAATTGGATTTATATTACTACGAAAAAGCAAGTAGTTAAATCAGACTGTTCAAAACGGAATTGTTTATTTAATTAAGCCTCAGACTTGCTCGTCCTTTTTGCCGTTTTCTCCTTTTTCCTTTTTGCCGTTTTCTCCAAAAAAATTCATTAAACTGAGCCCAAATGAAATTTTAAGTTTTATTCGTACTTTATGAAAATTTCCAAGTTGATTCAAACCTCGGAATATCAGCCCAGCATTTCTAAGAATGCATTTCGGCTATAAACGAAAAGACACTATAATCTTATCACTACACCCCCCCCCCCCCCCCATTTTTATCACCAATCCTAAATACTACTGTCTCATTAAAAATTGGTGATTAAACAATAAACAGGTCCGCGTTCACACATTTCTGCTGATACATCAATGATGTTATCCTCGATTTAGGTAGCTCTATGAACATAGATTTGCGAATTTAAAAGCAGAAAGAAGCAACGGTAAAATTAAGCCTTGAAAAATCAAAACTTCTCAATGAGCCGGAATTGAACCTCCGACATCGAGCTTAAGAGTCTCACGTTCTCGCATCTAGTCCAAGTCACTTGCAAGCAATCTATGGTACAGCTAAGGCTGGAGGTACCTGTTTGACGGATTTTAAGGAAATGTAATGATACGAATGACAACTCGTAATTTTCAAAATGACTCAAAAATGTCAAACACCGGACATTTACCAAGTCCACAGCTGATACCATGACAAAAATACAGAGAAAATGTTTTTGCACTGGAGATCACTCTTAAAATTTTTTTGGGTGACATATTACAATAGGTGGTAGCTTCAATTTGAATAGTTACATCGCATTTTGTTTTACTTAGCACTTTATTTATTTTCAAAAGCCAAACTTTTTGGCAAAAGCGTAAAATTTGAATTTTTGAATAGTATTTCATCTTGTAGTAATGCATTTACAAAAAATATCCTAGTAGTAGTATAATTGATTGAAAATGAAATGAATATATTATGCATTATAGTTTTCAAATTTAATACATGCACTACACTCAAAATTACCACCTAGTGTAACATATCACCATTTTTTGTTCGATTGATTTCCCAATTTCAGAATGGGCCAGAAGGTCTAATATTTCTTAAATCTATAGCAGATTCCTTAGCAAAACTGAGAAAAAATGCTTATGCAGGGGATATCCTTGCAGCTTGCGATTTTACTTTGACATTTGCTAAATCTAACATTACTTTTCTACAAAAAAATGGGCGTAGCCACTATGCAAAGAAAAATCATGGTGTATGTTCTTTCGATTGAACCCTTGATCTTAGAACTGACAGGGTAGTTTAAAAACGGTCGAAACTTCCAAAATAGGAAATTAAAGTCCGTAGCTGATTGCTCTCCAAAATTAGCAACCACTTCTGCAGTAGATACCCCTACATTTTGTTCTTCGATTGAACCCTTAATCTGAGATTTGGCACCGCAGGTTTTGAGAAAAGCACAGTTTCCCATAGATGATAGTCAACATTTGTTTGGAAACGATCACCTTGAAAAGTAGTTGACACGTTTTCCATTCTTATGAACAAATGTAGTTCTGAAAAGTGAGAACTTATGCCGTTTGAGGAAACTCTTTTCATAGCAACAACAACAACTAGAACTACTTAACTTGACGAGTGGCTTCAGGACAGACGCAGCAATCCACTTTCTCAGGTTTTCCACCCAGTGCTGCACTTTGTCTCCTATGTCCAGTCCGTGCACACCTCCAAACTGCACCACTTCCGAACTACTCATCATAGAGGCCAGAGAGGACTTGTTCAGTGGCGAATGGCCACTCTTGCCCCCCTCGCCCCCTGCAACAACAAGCAACACATCCGATGGTTACATTGTCACGCAAAATCAAACATTGTTCCCATAGATATTATCTTCTTTTAAGAGCAACAGAACAGCCAGAAAAAAATCCCGAATGAAAACCGAAAACGTAGACAGTTGGAAAAGTGTCAATGACTTATTTTTTGAAAACATCTTTCAAATTTAGAAGAAAAAAGTTGAGGCCCTTAAAGCTCTTTGAATTTCAAGAACAGTTTAAGATTGGCACTTTTTTGACGAAATCATTCAATTTGAGAAAATTGGATAGTTAGGCAGTGTTTTTATTCCGTTGATATGTGAAAATCAAATTCCGCTTTAGAAACTAGAAGTCTATCACGTTTTTTGCGCCATTTTCTCTTCCGTAATTGAATGAAATCATCACAACCTATAAAAGAATCTGAACTACGCTCATCGACTCTTAATAAAGTCACTCCGTCGAAATCCCGAGAAGGATGGCGTCGAACAAACTGATGATGATTGTGGTGACGAATCCAATCTTTGAAGCGAGATACTTGGTTTTGAATGACGTCAATAGCTGACAACTCTTTCTACTACTTCTTCTTAACTTAATAGTTGCATATGCTCTTTCCGACTTCTCACTAAATTTGAACTAAGGTGGGATTTGTTAAACTTCTGCTGTATTGAAACTTGGTCTAAAATCATTACAAACCAGCTCAATAAATAAATTGATCTTATCTGTTCAGTACTTAGTTTATAACTCTCACCTTCGACCGGCTGACTTAGTTGGTAATTGTCATTGGGCAACTGTCTCAATTGTCTGGCCGATGGAGATGACTCATGCATGAGTGTGGCTCCTTCTAGGGCAGCGATTGTGTGGGCCTCCTGCTGGTAGAAACTGTTCAGGTACTTCTCTAAATCCTTCACGTCGCTTATTTTGTCCTCAGCTGCAGCTGAAGTGAGCGAGGTGTCTGTCCACCTTTGGGGACTACTGAGGGGCGAAGAGAGACAACGCATCGGGCACAAGTGGAACGACTAAAAGAAACAAGTAAGCAACATAAACTTAAGTTATACTGATTCCTTACATCTGATTGGCTAATGCAAAGATAACAATACATAATCGCTCAAATTATATACCAAGTATTTATTTGACTGTAGCACACTAACTTTAATTCACTATTTCAAAAAACGCTAGTTGAAAGATGAAAAAACAGATAGGATTGCTCAATCAGGACGAAACACGCAGCATCAGAAAGATACAATAACCATCAGGATAGCTTGAAAATTAAAAAGTATTAAAACAAGTTGTACGTTGACCACTCCATTTTCCAGAAGGTTGTAGCGAAATACTTCAAGACAAATATAAATTTTTGAATGCGTGGAATACATAGAACAAATCAGTAAGCCAGAAGTCATCAGAGGGACTTACCGATGTCTAAAATCAGACTATTGCACCAAATAGCAATATACAGAAAAGATCTGCATGTGGCAAAAAAGCAGTTTTGACTATGTTTTTGAATAGCTTTTAGAATAGGTTTTACACAAAACATATTTTTGATTTGAATTTATTGTTAACATTATTATTGAAAATATTGAAGAATTTCCTATTTATTATCCGACGATGAAGTAGGAAGAAATGTGGTGTGGTATTCGCACCATGGTAAAGTTTTTCAACCTCAAAGGACTTTTCAACATGCAAAATTACTAATCATCACAACAAACTTCAGAGATATTTCAATTTTCAGGAACTTCCAATGGCGATCAGAGCAACCGGTAAATCCTTACCATTGTGCCTTGATCGATTAAAAAAAACCCAAAAAAAAATAAATGTGTTTTGTATTTTGTAAAATTCAAGAACTTCTCCTTTGAATGACTTATTGCGACTCACAGTCACCGCAGATACTCTCATCTTTATAACCATACTACAGTGAGAGACTCTAAGGCAAGGTGTTATCAACTAACCCGAAAGGGTTATGTTGATGGTCAGACTTCATCGGCTGATCGAAGGGTGTCACAAATTTCCCCTTGATAGGCTCGCTTTGATAAGCTCTTTCTAACTAGTCGAGCAAAGCTTGAGTGCAATGCAATCAGGAAAGCTAGCAGTCATTTACAAGCAAACTAATTATGACACAGAGGCAAAGCTGCGCTTCCCGAAAACTTGCGAGAACACTACTAAAAAGCAGCTCTCTCAAGTGAAATCAGAAAAAGTAGAAATCGGCCTTGAATGAGCAAAAACTCGTGAGCAAAAGTATCGGATTCGAAACTGCGACCTAGCAAATGTGAGTTCCACGCGCTAACCACTCAGCCACGGATGCTTAATATGCCCAAAACTAGCCACCAATAAAACAGCTACATATGCTCATAAATTGCCAATTCGATGCATCGAAAGTAGCATAAAATAATAAATTGGAAATCATAAAGCCAAATTTTGTATGAAGTTTGCACTTCAACAAAAATGCGAGATACATTTCAAAACAAATGCGAGTTGGAAAATTTCTGAAACTGAGCTTTCTATCATTTTACTGCTGTTTGAAACAACTCATTTTTTTTGGTTCATTTGATGATTTAAAAATGCATCAACTGTGTTAACTTTTTGCTAATCAAATGTCAAATCATCTATGACATTATACTGCTACCGCAGCCTACCGATTCAAAGATCCCAACAAACGTAGCATTTCTATTTGCTTAGGTTGGACAAAAATACCATCCGATGCGATATCAATCGCTACTAGATTCGCTTATGCATTCAATGCGTCGATATACTCCCTTCTTGCCGATATTCACTTGACTTGAATCTCAATTCACTTTCTCTAACAACGCAATTTGTTCAATTGATCACAAATTATGCAATGCGGTATTTAGCCTCGGATTATACTACTGATCATCTATTTAATCTATCAACGAGCAAGTACCTCAAAACTACTTTAATTGTAATTAGCCGGATTCTAACCTTGAGTCGATGTAATTCAATTATCTGACTAAATCGCGTAATAGTCACTTAGCTGGACAATTTCTACATGCCTTTTGTGATCCTGTTCTTGATAGCCAATTACACGACACTCAATATCAACGGTTTTCTCACTAACATGGAGAACTAACTGTTCGCTCTCATAGCGTAATCTTTCTGCATAAGTATAATCTGTTTGTTATCCTTCAGCTTTGATTGTCTGATTGAGTTTCATTAGATAAGCGATTCCTAGAAACCTTTCCAAGAACCTTGTTTAGCTATCTTATGAAAGTTTCGCCCTCCCAGGGAAGTCTCATTCAGAGGTAATATACTCTTTCTTAGATATCCAAAAACTCTTAGCTAATATTTATTTCGATCCGACATCCTAGTTACCAGGGGAGGCCGTGCATCTTCTAGGAATCCAAAAACGCTCTTGAACAATCTCCGGGAAATTAACTAAACATCCTGTTTCTTCATAGAACTCAGGGTACCGAACTTCTATGTTATCCACTTATGGTTGCCAGTTTTCCCCGAGACTGCTTTTCTTTGTTCTAGTTGAAAATCTAATTAACTCTAAACGGTTATATTTGTGTTTGACCCAATGTTCATCCAGCTTTCCCTGGATAAACATTGACCCAATGTTTATCCAGCTTCAAAAAGCTTTTAAGTTTTTTGAAGCATGCTATGAAACTTTGTTTGAATTATTTCGAACTTATTTCCAAAGCAAGCGGTTCGCGCTGTGAAACTTTGACATAATTGAAGATGTTTAATAAAACAAATCGGTTCACAAAAAACTTGTCTAAGCAAGCTATTTGAAACTTTAAAAACTACATTTTAATTTCATAGACTGAATTGGTTCGCGAAAAGTTTAAGTTTTTCTAAGTAAGCTTTTAAATTTTAAATTACTACAAATTACTTCATAGACTGAATCGGTTTCGCGAAAAGTTTTTCTAAGCAAGCTTTTAAAGCTTTGAAATTTTCTTAGAAGCAAGCTATGAAACTTTGAAGTATTTCAAGTTATTTTTCGACCAAATCGGTTCGAGAAAAGTTTCAGTTTTTCTAAGCAAGCTTTCAATGCTACGAACCTTTGAATTATTTCAATTCATTTCATAGACTGAATCGGTTCGCGGAAACTTTAAGTTTTTTGCTAAGCAGGCTTTTAAAGCTATTAAATTAACAAGTTATTACAAGACTTAACCGGTTCGCGAAAACTTTTAAGTTTTTTGAAGCAAGCTATGAAACTTTGAATTATTTCAAGTTTTTTCTTGGACCAAATCGGTTCGCGAAAAATTTCAGTTTTTCTAAGCAGGCTTTTGAAGCTATGAAACTTAGAATTATTTCAAGTTATTTCATAGACCGAATCGGTTAGCAAAAAGTTTCTTTCTTTGCATGGAGGTTGCTGTTTTAAAGTGATTCGTTTCAGACTAAAATGAATCTGTAAACGCAACATTTTGGACAAAAAATTAGGCAAGTACTCTCTAGCCTTTAAGTTGCAATTAGTTCATCTTTCTCTGAATGATTCTTAAGCGTTACGCTCGATAGCCTTTTAAACATCGTCTCCTAATAATTTTTAAGCATTTTTAGTTAAACATTGCGTCCATAGTGTATTCAGACTTTCATTTAATATATAAGAACATATGTATCAAAAATCTATCGTTTAAACACGATATCAATGAAATTAAAGCAATTCCAGAGCAAAAACATCCCTGACTTCAGAAAAAATTTGTTAACTGAATATATCATTGGATTAGATATATTTGAACAATTTATTTAACCGAGATCAATCCCGAATTAGTCTTAACTTTCTAAAATTATTGTCATGGATGCTGATTTTGGTTCATGGATCAATAGAAATTGTTGATATGGAAATGTTTTGGTATAAAATTCAAACTGCGAGCTCATGAATTTGAAGAAGAATTCGCTAAGTCAATGACAAAGAAGTCTTGAAACAATTGAAAACGCAGTTAAGCGAAAAATATCATGGCATTAACAAGAGAGAGGGGAAACTCCGAGATGACAAAGTAAGACACACCATGGCCAGCATTAAAAGACACAAGCACAACTGAATGCGTGGTCATTGTTGTCTTTTTGTTTGTTTGCTTTCTGTAAATGAGTTAATTATTGGAATGAACAGAACTGAAATTGTCGAAGCTAATAGAATTGACGCAAAGTGATATATAAAATAGATATTTTGATGAAATAAAAAGATGAAATAAAAAAAATAAAACTACTGATTTTACTTCTTGTTCTTTAATCAAACTACTAGTGTTTAAAGTTATTAAATTATTTTTCATTAAAGAGAGACAATTCAGCAAGCCTTCGATTTCTCAGGCGCTCCTGACAATGTTGAGGATTCTCAAAAAATTGTCTGGTAGGTAATTTTCTGTCTCTTTTTGTATAAAATTTTAACTGGAATAAACCCGCGAGCTCGTGATTTCTCACGCAAACTTTGGACGGGTTTGTGATGTCTCGATCTATGTCTGAATAACTGATTTGTTTTCATGAAAAATGATTTTTTCCACAGTTATTTTTGTTTTCTCGATAGAGATTGAGTCGGGACTTCATCATAGAATATATTTTTTATTTCTCTCTGGTATTGGTTTTTGTTTTACTTTACAATTTTTTCAGTTTTCAAATTTACAATGAATTTAATACAAGGCTTCTGTAATAAGATGCATAATAGTTCAAGTAGATCAACACGGACATTGTGGGTATTTTTTAAAGAGATCCATATTACAAAATTTACAATCCTTAGCAGACAAATTGTGAGAACTCATTGATCAGTTAAAGTCTAACCCTATTGCTATTTGCCTGACATAAACTGAGCTGGAGCCTGTTATATGTCGTTACTGGCTATAATCGATTGATTTATGTTAAGGGACGTTTCGTATTCTAGAGCGTTGGAGTATGTACGAGTGTTGGATGTGCGGTCTAGGCTTGTGAATCTTCAACTCAGGGATGTGCTTTGTGATGTCAGTTTCAACCTTCCAAGGAACTGGCTTTCTGTTCAATTAAAAGTGAGTATTACTAGTTAAATTGTCTAATTTTGGCGAGCTCCTGATTATAATGGCTCTCTCAATATTACTGA